CCCCAAAACCCCAAAACCCCAAAACCCCAAAACCCCAAAACCCCAGTTTCACCTAAAAATATTGAAAATTAGGATTTTAAATTAATATTTCCTTCTTTGAAATGGCTTATAGCCTACACTAGATTTACCATATTTCAAACTCTTCTTTGCAGGTATTCATTGTTTAGAGAAATTAGCATTGTACTCTCCCTCACCTTCAAGGAATTCTGCTTCGTTATCTTCATACTCAGATTTTTGAGATTTTTCTAGATCTTTCTGATTCATTCCGCTGTAAAAATTATGAAAAGGATTGCCAACACAATAGTTCTTCTTAACAGAAGCCCTGCTAGATCTTCGTTGGTAATCTTGGACTAGTTCTTTATAACTTGAATCTCTTGGCTTGCGATATCTCTCAACTTGCATGACCTTCTCCATTGTGATTTCTTGCAAGCTCTCATCACTAAGACTACTCTTCTCATCTGAGCTTGAAGATTCATCAAGATCATCTGGTATAAGTTCTGCTGATTTATCGTTAGCATTGAGAATTAGGTTCACAGCGTCACAATCGGATGAATCTTGGTTGATATTATTAGTAATTTTATTTTCCTCAATCATGCCTTCTAACTCTCTGAGCTCTTTGGAATTTCTTCATAAATCCTTCATGCTTGGATGATCTTGGAAACCGAGGTTAGGAGTCTCATAGCCATCGTCGTTCTCCATCCTAACTGATTTCTCATCATTCTTGACAGCAAGGTTGAGTTCGTTAGAGCTCAGCTTATGACTGGGAGTTCCATCATTACCTCTTACTAATGACATGAAGTTTAAATTGTTTAGTGAAAGACCCATAGAAGAAGCCCCTTCATCGATACCACTAGACGAGTGTTTACTTCGAGGGTTGATTTTTACTCCCTTTTTATCATGATAAACTATATTTCCAGGTTTATTATTGATTAACCTATTCTTGAATTTGCTAAGACCGACTATCGGATATTTGTGGGAACTCCCTCCAGAATCCTTGTCTGCAGTCCGATCTCCCTTATTCCCATTCTCACATTCCAAGCGAGAACTGAGATGACTTTCAGATACATTTATTTTAGGGAAATGCCTAGGTCTAGAACCTGGTTTAGAAATCTCCTTCTGTGGTTGCCTATATTCTGGAGGGACTGATCGTGATAACCTCTTGCCTTCAAGCTTAGTTGTAATCTCTTCCTCCTTACATTTCGTGTTAATATTTTTCTTCTGGAGGCCACTCATAGATTTCTTTGCTCTGGAATGTTTATTTATCCCGATGAAAATTTTCAACATATTTGTCTATTTTATTTATGTATATCATCTTCTTCAGGGAACGGAGTCTGGTTCTTCTCCCCAGGTTCATTGTTAGCCTCAATTCATGCTATAAATATGTAAGGAATGAAATGAAATGAGGCGTACATAAACGGACTGTTTTGCCAAACCTATTGCCTGATCACTGATTCCCCATTATTTTTAGATTATTATATCACAATACAATAATTGTGAATTTTTAAGGGGTTTTGGGGTTTTGGGGTTTTGGGG